AATTGCTAACAAGCCGGCACTCCGCGACTTGGTCTCTTCAGCGCGAAATGGAACTCCACCAGGATGAGGATGACGTTGTTAAACTGATTTTCGGAAATGAAACACCTTCTCGCTTATTTTCTCCCGCCTCCGTGGATAATTACCATTCAAACGAACCGGTAATTTCCGTCCCTTCACTTGCTTCGAATTGGACTCGAATATACAGCACTTGTCGAATACGTTGACAATGCTTCGAAGTGTAATATGATTAAGCACGATCGTCCAGGATAACGTAACGTTTTTGGTTAAGCTATTCATATGTCCATAGGCTATCTCAACTACAGTTGTGCCACATCATTGGCGCTAGCCTTCGCGCTAGTATAATTGGCACGAAAATATCTAGTAACGAAAATGAAAATTTTTACATTTTTAACTGTACCCTCGTGAGAATATTATCAATGAACAGGTGAAAATTTCCCGATTAAAATAAACCCAAACACGTTCACATTCGAATTATCTCTCACTCGAAGAATTATATGGACTAGTCATACTTTTGGAATCGGAACGAGGTTGTGTTTGGTCTCGTACATATGTATCGGGAAAATCTCACGTATCCATTGCTAATATTTCCATGATCGTATAATGAGAAATACAAGAATTTTCATTTTTACAAAATGCGGCATTACTTTCACGAAATCGAGGTCATTCTTCATGGATACAAATATTTGATGGCAGAATAGTCGATATCCGGCAATATCTGCATGCGGGTCGTTAGGTATTTGGTGATTTTGATAAACACGTAAAACATTCGAACTTTAAATTATTCGGGGAATTCGACACTGCTGTACGCTGCCATAAATATTTCATAAGGAAACTTTTCCCGAAGGGTTTATCAATATTCATTAGAATTTTTGAAGGAAGACGGAAATTTCCATGTGTCGAATTTTTTTTTGAGGAACAATAATAAAACTGAATGATGCAATAGACTACAGATAAAAATTAACGAGTTTTTTATTTCACCTTATATAATGTATTTGTGATGCACAATTAGAGGTTATCTGTGGGAAACAATGGAACGTACGCAGAAGGTGAAAACTCAAGTAGATACGTATCATCAGCGACGTTGATAAGCGAGAAAAACGCGTATTTTCCCCGTCACGTAACCTAATTGCAACAGCGTTGTAATTTTAAGCATGGCACACAGGCAATGACTAATCTCTGACGGAACGAAGGGAAAAGAGACTAAATAGTATGTAATTACAATGTTAGGTTAACGACTGTAAACAAGGAAAAAATCATGTTCGCTCAATTGAAAAATTAGGTGTGATTGAAGAAAGTTGGTTGCGTAAGGAAAGTGTAAATCTCTGAAAAAAAATTATTTTCGTACATCAGGTTGAATATTTTGAAGCAATTTTTTTTATTGTCATCGATCATAAAGAAGCAATCGTGATAGCATTCTTGCTTATACATCAAATTACAGTTCACTCCTCAACGAGTTGTACGGTTACATTTTAAAATAACGTTCCTGGCGCCCAAAGTAAAAATGTCGCAAAATTCTATTTTTAGCGATCACCGCTATAGCGATCGTGAGGAGAATAGTTATCCAACAGAGCGATTTGTAAACATATACGGAATACCGAGGGCCGTGTGTTAACAAATCGAGGTATAAAATACGTGTAAACAACTCGTTATTGTTGTGTGTGGAAAACATGGCAAAATATACATATGTATATCATCGTACGTATACGTGCCAGAATTGCCCTGAGGGTGATTAAGATTAATCCTCATACTAGTACACTGCACTAAAAATAAGTGGTTATTAAATAATATTGTTACACTTTTAAGAATACATATCGTACAAATAGATACAGTGGCTCACGGAAGTATTCGAACGCTTACATTTGCAACGTTTAATGAACGAAATATACATGTTAAACTAATTTGTTTAAAACAATATGGTATCTATAGTAAGGAAAATGTCTGAAGATTATTTCAGTAAAATTTGAAAATAAAATAATACAACGTAGGTAGTAGTTACAATACATTTATTATAAACATGCACCATTAGTGTCTCACAAAAATATTCGAACGCTGTTACATTGTTGATGTTTTTCTGTACATCTTAGGAATGAATGTAACCAATGACACTGAATGTAAGCATCGGCACGTTCAGTTGATGTTAAGGCATCGTTTCAGTAACAGTAACGTAAAATTGTGCAGTGTAATATTTAAAATGAATACCAAAAAGTCAGAAACGCAAACGTGTGAACGAGAAATAATACTTCGACTACAACGAGATTGCAAAGATTTCAAACAGAAATAAGTCTACGGTACATTACATCATAAAAAAGTCAAAAACTGAAGGAACTAATTGCGAATAAAGTTCGTTCAGATTGACCAAAAACATTGACTGAAAGAGAAAAGAATGTTATCATTCAGCTGAAAAAGAAACCTATACATCCGTTCCTCAAATCAGAAATATGATAGCTGAAATGGTCGATAAAGAAGTTCATCCCGAATTATGTCGAAACTATGTTCCGTAATATATGACGGAATAATGATTTTCATGGTAGAGTACCAAAGAAGCCGTACATTAATAAGGAAAATAAAAAAAAAAAGATTAACTTTTACAAAAACACATCAACAAAGATAATGCTTTCTGAGAAAAAGTAATATTTTCAGACGAGTCTAAATTTAATATCTTCAGCTCATATGGTCTGAATTATGTATGGAGAAGACCAAATGCGGAATTAAAAATTCAAGATTTACACCAAACAGTAAAACACGGGGGTGGTTCAGTTATAGTATGGGGCTGCATGGCAGCTGGTAGTACGGGAAATTTAGTATTTATCGATGGAATACTCGATAAATATAAATATTTAAATATTTTAAAGAACAATGTTAAAGATAGTGCCCGTAAATTGGGATTATTGAGACACTTCCACTTTCAACAAGATAACGATCCCAAACGTACAGCTTGGATCGTGAAAAACTGGATATAACACACCATGCATGTTAAAATACCCCACCGCAAAGTCCAGATATCAACCCGATTGAAAATTTACAGGCTGAAATTGGCAAAAGATTAAGTAAGTTTCAAATAACATCAAAGCAGATGCTTAAAGAAAAAATTATGGAAGAATGAAATTCCATTGATAGTACTTTTACAAAATCGTTGCTTTATAGTATGGAGCATCGACTGAGACAAATAATTGCTGCTAAAGGTGGTCCAACAAAATATTAATATTAAATAATCTAATAATATATGAAGCGTTCGAATACTTTTGTGAGCCACTGTACGTCTGTTGCGAATGGGCTCTTTACTATTACGTTGTTTACTTTTTGATAAAAATGTGTTGATTCCTTTTTAAACATTGTTTAACATCGGTGTCAGATTTACTTTGAACATTAAATGAGAACCACTAGTGGAGATGTGTACTCACAAGATTTACAAAATTAACATGTTCGGCCAGATTGCAGAAAAGTGTAATTACTGAATGAAGCAAACGTGTTGTATACGTGAATACTGCTTTTACGGAGATAACACACACGTTTAAGGCATTACAATTTCTGCAATCACTAGAATGTAACAAATAAAACGTTAATACACGTGAGTATCAACGTTTGTGAGGTTGATTTCGATCTGCTAAGTAGCCACAAATTTTTTGACGCAACAGATGGCAGCACTTGCTAGAGGATACCTAACGATATATGCATAGAGTATCATTTAAATTCATGGTATTAAATTCTTACTTTTATGGTTTTATAATTGTTCAAAAAATATTGTTTTGAACATCTGCAAAATTTAAACAATTAGAAGAACATTATTGAATATTTGCATTTATGTGGTATGTATAAAATAAATGTTTTTAATTTGGAATTGTATGAAGTATCGCGGAATAAATGGTATCTCTGCGGTTCATCGATTCAGTTTGAGAATCACTGATACAAACAAAATCCGAATTTTCAATGCTGTGAAGTTCGTGCGGAGTTTAGGGTGGTGTAACGATTTCACGTCGAGTGCGCACGAACGTTTACCGCGATTACACGACAAGTTGTCAAGGGTAAAAATACTGCAGTACTGCTGCAAAACTTTTAGCAGAAGCATCAACGTTCATAGGTGATGTATTAGTCACGCTGTCGTTTTGAACGAAGAGGAAAGACGTTGACCTCCAAGGCATCCTTCTTTTTTTTGCGCAAAACGCTCGCTATTTGCGATTGCTTAAAGAACTTTTTGAGCAGAGGTCAACATCTACCTGTCAATTCAACCCTTATTTCCTTTTGTATATAAAATTAGTGGTAATTATTCATATGGAATTTCCTTAAGTTCCTAATTTTTATGGTACCTGCTTCATTTGTGTATAATGTCAGATTACAAGGCTTTTCCTTTCTAAATTTTTATATTCCTGTCGTCCAGCTAAATCAGTTATATGTTGAATATAATTTTAAACAATGAATGAGTTAGTATGCGATTGGAAGCTACATATATATTTGAATAGGTTTCCTAGTGCAAACTTTCATAAGATATTGTTTCGAGTAAATATCGAAAATTGTCTCCTTTATTAAATATACTAAATTTATATCTCTGGTGTAATGTGATAGTCGAAGTACATCGATGTAGTGAAACCATTTGGAGACATAAGCAGGAGACATACGACCGACCTACATATCTAAATAGGATACGATGTTCGTGCTGCTATCTATACTGGGGTATGCGTTTTAAGAAAGCTGAATAAATTCAAAAGAGTACAGGAGTAACGAAGATCGGTCGTTTGAAAGATAAGGCTTCATTGGTATCAATCTAAACATACATAACCTCATTTGAATATCAAACAAACTATACAAGTTATTAACCAAGTTATAAACCAGTTATTTACCGCACAAATAAGACGGAAAGATACTTCTTGGTACCGATGTAACCCTAATTGTGATCGCATGGAAATATTCATCAGATCTAACATATCCTGTGAGCATAGATTAATTAAGTTGAAAAACACAGTGTCTGTGAATAAAAGGTGACCATGGTTTGTCCAAGCAGCGTTCTTGCGCATTTAACGAAATTTATCGTAACAGTCGGTTGCATAAAAGCTGTTGGTAATATCTATGGTAAAGCAAGCACCTGGTCATTTCGTGCCTTTCAAATTCTACTTTCACACTCCATACTGGGAGCACTCAGGTTTGGTAAGGATGCACCTTCTGATATCTTGCATACTTTGCATCTTGGCATTTGCCTAGTATATTTTTAAAGCAACGTTATCTGTACAGGGCCCCCTAAAAGTACATCTTATAAGTTATTGGGGGTCACGCAGAGGATTAGTTGGTATGAAACTACGTAAGGGTATTGTACTTGATGTTTAATTATAAAGCTCCAATGGAAAAAAAACTCTGTTTTTAGCTTACTGTTTGTCAGATTTTAATTTTGTTGGAACAGATGAGAAATAATATCATACTTTAGAACACTGGTCCAAGTGAAATATCCAATAAAAAGAACGATTGCCCCAAAATGTCACCTTGTAATAGCTAAATGTTAGTACCCTCCCTTTTTTCTTCTTAAACCAAATATTAACTGGCACATAAATTAAATAACTAACATTATATTAATTTCTAGAATTAATACAGTATGTAGATATTAACTTAATTTATGTTTTGTGCCTGTTATATAACATTTTAATAAATTATTTTGCTTATTGTAGTATTATATATAGTGCTTTTATGTTTTTTTCTAATATACTGTAGTTGTTTAGTAATGAAATCTGCTTGCATGATATAGCTTATTATCCCAACATTGTATCCTTTTCCCACATTAACAAAAAAAGGAATAAAATAAAACGAACCTTTCCTCCTCTAAAATTAACTCTTATTTTATAATTTGTAAATACAGCAATTATGAAACATTTATTTTTATCTACTCTTTTTGTTTTTGTTGCATTAAAATATACAATTTTACTAGCAAGTACAAAATTTATTTGCTAGTTGTTTCATAGCAGCTTTAGCAGTTAAGAGTAATTTTTATTTTATTTAGGTGATATAGTTACATGAATATCTATCAATTACATTATTTCTCACATGTTCCAACTATACATTTATTTTTAAATCAATCATAAAATCATATGTTTTGTGTGACATTCAAAGAGTAAAAACAACACATTTCACATTTCCTTTTCCCTTGCTCTGAAATTCTGTGGGATGAACATATAGGTGAACAGACTGAAAATTTGATACTTCCATAACACTTCTAAAAACCTTAGGTCTACAGAAACATTTACAGCTTCAATGTTTAAAAAAAACAATTAGTTCACGCTATAATACATAGTGAATATAGTAGCACTTATAATATGTGTGTGTGTAGTATTGAGCATATTATTTTTAGCAATGTTGCTTCCAGGAGCTCCATTTCTCACATCAGCAACCAATGTAGCAAAGTACTTAAGGATCTTCTACGATTGGTATTCCAAGATTGTTGATGTTGTACCTTTGGCAATGTTCACTGCTGGTATCCTACAAGGATATGGGATTAGTGAAAAAGTTTGGCTTATAGTACTTTCCTTAGGCATTTTGCCAGTATTTTTTCACCTGCAACCAAAGCGAAAAGACAGCCAAATAAGAAGGCATCAATTGTTAATGAATATTACTACGATATTACAGCTGTTAATGGTCACGTTGGTTGGTTTAAGAAACATTAATTACAACGTTATTAGTTTAGTTGTCTCATATATTTTCGAACGATTTTTCATTGACGAATTTTGTTACAACTACGATATCCCAAGTACCGATTTGACCCAGTATTCCCTGTGTTTCGTAGAAATTTTTATGGTTTTAACGCTGAATGAGGTGTAAATAATACCATTGTATAATTATTACACTTTTATATACATTTATGAAAATAAATAGCATTTTCGTCTATCCATATTGAACTCATGGTTACTGTTTGACGCGATAAATTCCCTAGAACTCGAGAAATATTCAAATAAAACTTAGAATTTGGTTGAACTCGTACTTTTATTTTACCAAGCCTATTTCTATAGCATGTAGCGAAATGTTACGACTCATGGTACAGAAAAGAATGAATACAAAATGTTTTTGGGAAGTTTCTCTAGAACGCGAAGTCTCTCTTGTTTTTCTCCCAGAATCTATCTTTTTCTGGTTTTCCTCCCAGATCCTGGTGGCCCAATCGAGAGACAGTTTCCACTCCATAGATCGTCGCTTCTTCTACGCGTACTCCACTCCCGATCCTTCGTTAGTGGGTGGTGATGGCAGCGCTTCGTTGAATCACGCGAGAACTAACCTTTCACAATATTTATGGTCCTCTTAGAGTTCTAGTTAATTGACTCAACTGGATAGCTTTAAAATACAAAACAGTACGTCGTGCGTACATTTCTGAGTCCCGAAACAAACATCCTGTCGAGGGAGCCTACGTGGCTTAAACTTATCTCTCGATTGGTTACGGTTCTTAAATAAAATCTTTCGAATACAATCAACAAAGCATTTCCGTTCCCGAGTTCTAATTTTCGCATCGAACCTTTAGACGATTTCCAGATACAGTTTATCTTTTTAAAACATACATTATTGACAATTCAAATTGCGCTCCAGCTGTCCGCATCGATCTCTCTAGAATAAGACTATACTAAAGCTATATTCACGAACATGTACGACAAATGCTTAAAGTTCATGCGATAATGTGACATTAGTATGAAATATAAGAAAATTTTCTGCACTAATAATAAATTATATTATTTCGTAAATGATTTTTAAAAATTATATACTTTCTCCAAAATTCTTTGAATATTAGACCAATATAGATACGTAGAAGAAACCAATGAATGATACCCTTTCTGTTCGAACATCACGTCCGTCAGACATTATAGTCCGTGGCCTATCTGTATTCAATACAAATCCCATGATAATACTTAAATTCCTATAATACACTGGAAAGTCAATTTTCGGTTGAGCCTGAAAACATTTACTACAATGCTGCTGCTGAGAATTCGAGATCAGATCAATCGTAACATATCTTGAGTTCAATCGAGTCGATAGGATGTTAAATCGACATAATAAATTTTTGTAACGTGTTTACTGAGCAATTATCAAATGAATTAACCATAAGTGTGGATCTTCATGAACGCAGATACCCAGACGAACTAGGTCAACGAATTGTATTGTGCGAGCTGTGATATTTTCGTTTGATTTTTCTCTGCCATACAAATTTGTTGGCTGTTAAGATAATCGGTTTTAATGATAATTGTTTCACGTTCGTGTAACGAATCGCCGTATCAACGAGCAGAGTTAATCGTAATAGTATAAACGTTGTAACTATTGAAGCAGCTGTTACTGGAAAATGCAAGTGCGCGTCTTTGCCATATTTTGGCAGAATAACGAATAAAACGTGTAATAGTTAATCTCGATCATCTGTGAATTTCTTGTACCTCAAGCACTTTGTTTATCCACATTTTCGAAAAGGGATTCAGAAAATCAGTACCCAATGAAATCAGTCACTTCTGTTCCTGAAACAAACTTTCAAGGTATCGGGCGTGACATGGCAGAGCGGCTCGGTTTGGGCCCTGAGGTTCGGGAACTCAAACTAGGACCAACTTTTACAAACAATAGATCAACGGCCTTTCATACTCTGAAATGTTAGTATATGAATTTTCTTAATTTATAACCTAAATCTCGAAATATATTCACACAAGAATTTCCTTCACCATTGCAAGGACTATCAGTAATTGATAATGTTATAAACATAGTTTACTTTTCAATTAATAACTCTGACATTTGTCGTTTAATTTCAGATGATTTTAAACCAGCAAGTGTTGATGTTTCTAAAGTGGCAAGGGTTGATGTTGGAACAAACAATACAATGACAGTTACTGTTCCACATTTAGATGGTGCTGGAATTCCTCATACAGTGTTTAAAGGCTCTCAGAGACCTTATCATAAAGAATGTGTTCTGATAATTGACAGAGTAACTGGAGAAATTACTTTGGAAAAATTAACAGCAAACATACAAGTGAAAAAAACTCGGTATGGAATTTTATTACATGTTGTGCTGAGCAATGACATGTATATGTTGTATGATGTTTTAGAACAGAACCCAAGTCTCAATCACATTTAGGAGTTTCTGGGGGAAATAGTAGCAATAGACCTATAACTCCCGTAGAGACAAAGAGAAGCCCTACACATGGAAGGGCAACAGGAAGAACAAAAGTTACAAGTGGAAAGAAAAGAGAACCTAGTGTTCAACTACATCCAAAGCAGTATAGTCCGCTTAGAGTATCTCCATATCATGGCAAGAGTCCACCTTCCACTTTAACCAACAGGTACCAAACATTTTTTAACATTAAATATAAATGAATAATTTGAATAGATACTTTTCGAGAAGTTTAAATTAATTTCTTTAAACTTTGATTGTGTAGTAATGTTACAGTAATATATTAAGATTTTTTTCTAAACGTACTAAAAACACACAGAACTTTAGTTCACCAGTGCAACCATCAGTGGCACAATCAACTTTGGCTAGTTTGCCGATGATTGGTTCTGATAATGATGACTGCCCTTTAACATCATCTGGATCATTCCCAACTATAAATTCTTCAGCACCTTCAAGGTCATCTCCTGCAACAAATACTCAGCCTGCTGCAAAACCTTCTATGACTGCAGATAGTGATGAAGGTGCTCTCAGTGATTCTACTACAAGTAGCTCAAGTTCAGATAGTTCAGACAGTGATTCAGACACAGAAAATGTTCCAGTGTTAACAGGAACTAATGGTATGTTTTTAATATAATTTTTATTATTAGTCTTCATTTATTTATACTTTCTTTTTTCAGTATGTTTCAATTTTTTATATATATATCTTCATTTTAGGTCATTTGAATAGTACAGCTTCATCTCCTACGCTCCTCATGCCAGATAATCTTTTAAATGATGATTTGCAATTATCAGAATCAGAATCTGATAGTAATTAATGGTAATGTATATATGAACTGTGTGCTGTAATGTTATTTATATTAATAAACGCGCTTCTGTTTGAAACAGTGTTTTTTCAGGGACAATAAAAGATCTTTTAAAGGTCTTTTCTGCCAAAAAAATTATATACTTTTTCGGCACTTTATTTGCTAGGTATATTGGAGGAATCAGAAAACGAAATAGAACAATTCAATTCTGTTTCACATCACACCCAGGAAATGTGTATAGCGAATTCGAAAACATGCTTACATATTCTATGTGTATTGCAATAATTTACGCTATATACAAAAATACAGAAACTTTTGCTTCTTGTGCAGTAAATATATGGAGAAAAAAATGTAATGAATACAAACGGTTATGTAGTGTGTGCACATTTATTTATAAGGTATTAGGGATTGTACAATTACTACTGATTAATGTTTAGTGTAATTATATGATCTTTACTTTCTTATATATATTTTTGAAAGTAAAAATCTTGTCAAAATCGTTTACGTATTTTTTCCTAGAAAAGTGGCAAACACTTATATTCTATAATTTTCAATTTTGATTTCTCGTATGATTTGAAATATTCTAAATGTCGTACATAGCACATCCTCGATTAGTTCTGCTTGCTAACCTCCTTATAAATACAAAATTACAAATGTGATGTGTTACGAAAAAGAAAAAAAAATTTAAACGACTGTGTTACGAAAAAGAAAAAAAAATTTAAACGACTGTGTTACGGGTTACGCTTTGTGTCCTCACACGGAGCATAATATTGGTTTGTGATGGACCGATTCAACGTACGTGGTTAATACGTCGTACTCCAACAAGTCCGTTAGGATTGGAGCCTTCGACGTATGTGGCTAATACATCGTTCTCCGAAGGATGAAATGGTTGGAAGGTTGTGAGGACAGTGCATACCATAATGTTGGATATATCTCGAGCGGTAAAGATATATCCTTGTAAGTTTAGCTGATTCGTTACTAATGTTACAAAGGAGATGGTTAATTGAATATAGACAGATGTAATTCTACAGTAACTGTATTCTAATAATAATATTTGAGTTTACAAAAGTTTACAATGGTCTAAAGATAAAGTATACTGGTCGATTCTTGACTGAGCAAGAATCTTCCTTCTCGACTTTATACGGCGAGTACGCGGGGGCATCGTAGACAAGTATGTCTAGTTGACACTTACGAAATAAGTATTAAACTCAGTTGCTCGAAAGGGAGTTCAGCCCGATCTTGCTTGTGTCAGGCAGCGACTATACGAATACTGCTCTACTTTAAAGTTTAGAGTGACTTTGCCCCAGAGCATCGGAAATCATGCCCTTATATACCCCAAAAATCTGTATTTTTTGATGGTGGGGGTCCTAGTTTTCCGATGAGAACGAAACGCGTTCGTTTATTCTATCTCAAGGGCCTTCTAGGGGGTGCGCGCTAGGCGGAAGTGTCGGCTAATCTGCATACGTAACATCTCCCCCCTTAGAGGGAACATCGTTTATTACGATGCTTCTGCAATTTAAACCGACACGAGGGGCGTCGAGTTTACAATTACAGTTAAAGTTAAAAATATAAAAAAAATGTATATATAAAATATATAAGAAAAGAAGAAAAACTTAAATTTTATTAGGGGTATCCGTCTGATCGGCTGAGGCGTCCATGTGGTCATCCTTCCGCTCAGACGTCCCCAATGGTGAGCCGGTGGAAGGTCGTTTTATTGTGGCAGGCCTCGAACGCTGACCCCTGTTAATGTCGTACCCGATGACGTCTATATCGTGTTAGCATCCTGGCTAGGCGCAGGATGCACTCCGGATTATGTTAATGGTTGCTCCACAACCGTCGCAAGGGGCGGTCGCCGGGGTCCTGGTTGGCTCGTGTCCGTCGTGTCTGTCCGGGTGCTCCAGGTCCTTGGTGCAGGTCATGCACAGGGTGCGCTCGTCCGTACCCAAGATCGTGAATCTGGTGCACCAGTTTGCGTCCAGTATTTCCTGGAATTCCCGGTCTTGCATCGCGAACTGGCGTAGTGTTGGACGTTTGGAGGGCAGCTCCGGTTGCGGTAGTTGCTGTAGCAGCGCCTCCCGGCAGTCCTCGCAGTCCGTGGCTCTGCGGTTCACTGCCACTGTTTCTCCGCATTGGCTGCATTTGAGGGTTGATTCCCAACGGGCCGGGTGGTGCTCGTTGAACTCCTCGCCTGTCGTCGGAGTACTTTTTGCGCAAATGATTTCGTCGTCCATGCTGGTGTAAAACGTTCTTGTTGTGCAGAAAGTCATTGCCAGCATTGTGAGGAAATGCTGGAGGCGCGCTGCGTTTTTGGAGGCTTGTTTTCTCAGGAGGCACATCTTGGCAATTGATGTCCTTCTGGTCCTCGCTTGGGCCTTATATATCCCAAAAATCTGGTCTACCATCTCCTACAGTTTTTTGGCGCCTTCGAGCTTGGCCGGGCATCCACCCCCGGATGTTGTCATCCGTCAGGAACGCCAGGAGGAGGCCATTTTCCCAGATGTATTCCGGGGTTCCTTCGTCCTGTTCCTCGGTTGACGTTGCCACATCTATCCTGCGAGGTCGCGGTATTTGCGTCCATTTCCCCGATAGGTAGGTCCCTTGGCAAGAGGTTTTTTAAGGAGTTGCGCAAATCGACACTACCGCACAGATTTCCCAACTCAACCTCAACGGGACTACAAAATTCGCTAGCACCTCGCTGTGCTATCGTCAGTGTTATTAATTATTGTCAGATAATATAATTACAAAAGTGTTTAGAGAACTCAGTATCCCATGCTATAACACTCGGCTGTGTAACCCCCAGTAATATCATAACTTTGAACATGACACATATGTAGGTACTCTCTCACATTAATTTTGTACACATTCTCTGTTAGATTAACATTTTTTCTCAAAGTCAGCAAATCTCTAATTTCATGCTTATAATTCGCATAACCAATATCGTCTATTGTCTATTGTCAATGCGCCCATGGTGGTGAATTTTGTTAAATCCTCTTGCTAATCCCATCTACGCGCAAATTCTCCCCACTTCAAGCTGCCATCTCCTATAATCGATAGCACTCCGAGACACGAGTATCGAATCGATCGTATGTGGGGGTGAAGCAGCAAATAGCTCAACACCTTAGATCTTGTCACCTCTACACTTTCCTGGTTATTTCTATCCCATCGCGATGTATTGACTTTAAGAGTAAGCCTCATCTTTGAAAAGATGTCGCTTACCGCTCGCGTTGGAAGCCACCAAGCTTTCCCATCTATATTGGCTTGCGAATAGCTATGACTACAAAATTCGATATTTTCAAATCTTTCACTTAACTTTGCACCGCTTTCTTGCCCGCTTCGTAGCAATAGATGTGCTTCATGCTAGCCACCAGATCCATATATCGGAAATGTCTATCAAACTGAGGATTGATGTCAAACATATAATTCTAATCTTTGATCACCCGCTTAGGAGACAAATTTCTGCTAATCTCATAAGTATATGGGAGCAACAAGCTGGTTCCAACAGGCACAATAGAGTCGTCCTTTTCAAATGCAAGCATGATCCTGTGACACCCCGTGATACTTTGGCACACAACTATGCCTACTGCCCAACCGAACAACTTAAAAATCAGAGCAAACATTACCGAATAAATGCAAACCTCCAAAAAACAGGCCAGCTGATAATAAGGAGGCATGTTATAATTGGCGAACCACAACAAGTTGCATTTAATCAACTTAACCATGGCGACGCAGGGCACCGTCAAATCAAACTTGATAGCAATGACAGAATCGCTCATAACAAGAATGTAGAAAGCCACCGCGCACACCACGACATTGAACACATTTCCCCGAATCATACTTTGGTAAGAAATTGCACTAATAATGAATCCGAGAAATATTTTGGCCCAGGAAAATCGCAAAAAGGACGCAATAGTTGTTGTGAATCTAGTCAGATCAATGCCACCCATCCAACTCGCGAAATCATTCGCCCAGCCCTTAGGATTCAGAGAATTATACTTAGCGGAAACAGAATTATACGCGTCTTGAACCAATGAGATTCAATTCTTCTTAAGGTGCTTGACGTCGATAGTTCTCTTATCACTATAAGTGCGCCTTTCTAAAGTCCTGGTAGCGTTTCCCAAACAATAGTATTCCAATATTGTTGCTGTTTTAGGATGCAATCGGGTCAAGGAGCCCTGCATGGGCAAGCACCCCTCAAATTCCACCTCCAAATCGCAAGCTTTATGAAACTGACTAGTCAAGGAGACAGTTGTAGTGCTCCTGAAACCAGCCGTCCCTGGTTTGTCCTCAACAATCACCTGAGATAGAGAACACCAGTTTTCCACCATTTTACCGATATTATAACTATACTTTCTATTTCCAGCTTGACAGTTGGAATCGTCAAATCTATGGTCGCCTCGTATCCATTTCCGGTGCTTTGATCCTAATTCGTGCCTTTGGTGATTCATTGATGGATTCCCGCGGCTCTCGTCGCTGAAGCGTACTATCCGGCGATTTTCGAGGTGACCGCTCGTCATATCGCCGGTATAACGAACGCGGTTGGAGTTTAAAGACCCGGTCGAACCGTCGCGTGCCACCCTGTTGTTGGTTTTTCTTTCGTTTTACCTGCAAGTGTTGCCGTCATGTCCCTGTTTGCCACATTTCCAACAATAAATCTTGGTCTGGTCGACCCTTTCCTTCCTAGTATTCGACGCAGATGTGCTACCCTCTCGGAATCTTCGTCGGTGCGGCAAAGGTGATTGCGGGTAGGCCACCCTTGACCGTCGTTGGTCTTCACGGTGGTGGCTCTCCTTGCCGTAATTTTTTCGGCGGTTTCCCAGCCGTTGACCCACTTGAAGTACCGCGTCGAAGGTGTCGTCAAGTGTGCTTATTTGTTTATTGAGGGTTGACGTCCTCTAGGCTATGCGGTCTGCTAGTCCGTCGAGGAAATTTTCCAATACATCCTGCTCCATGTCGTGGATGTATTTTTCGTTGTCGCCGTACCTGTCCCGTATCGCGGTGCGCGTAGATTGGGCCAAGCAGCTGACGCGATTTATATATTGACGAAGTGATTCGTCGGCGCGTATCCGTAGGCGCGCTATTTCGCCCTGGAGATAAATCAGGTTGCGTCCAGGTGCGAAACTTTTCTTCAGAAAACTTAATAATTCTGATATTTTTGCAAACGTTTTTCCTTGAACTCGTGTCCGTACCGGACCGGTGAGTTTCGTGAGGATTATCGAGAGATATTCTGACTCGGTATCTCGCGGAATTAGTACTAACCCGTTCCTCTACGCGTTGCGCGAAAGTCGACAAGGGCGGATTCTCGTCGTCGAAACTAGAAATCGGGAGCGTAGCTGATTATAAACAATTACGCTGCGTAAATAGTGCCATAGAATTCGCCATCGATAAAGTTAGATTAGCCATTTCGTTGGCGGAAAGCGAAGCTTGTGGTTTTGCCATCTCTAAGAATTTATTAGTAACGGAAATTATAGCTAAATCCCACCGCTGTCACCAGTTTGTTACGGGTTACGCTTTGTGTCCTCACACGGAGCGTAATATTGGTGTCGGCTAGTCTGCGTAGGTAACAACTGTATTACTTACAAAATATTTATTTAAATGAAATGTATAAATTTAATAAAGTATTCATTATAATACGAATCTTATTATATACATGTGTAATATGTAAAACATTTTCATATCAATCATAGAATCTCATGCTTCCATTTAACAACATCGTCTAAAACTATTTAAACTTTTGTACTATATAAACTATATAACTTTTCTGCAACGTGAGAATAACATAATTTGTATATAATTTTGTAATACTTTCCGCGGCGCGATACAATTTATGCTAGCAAACTATTTTTATATGTTTGATAATCTAATATTAATCTGGCAAGTTGACTACGTCGACCCAAATGAAGCTTTCTCGACCGTGTGCAAATTTTGTAGATATTATTCGAGGTATTAGCGCAATCGATGTTTTTATATTTAACCTTAAGTGCCGGTTCTACCGCGCGTAGTACGTGTACGTTACTGAAAGAGACGAACATCTCAAACAAGGACGTAACAGGGATGTCCTGTGAAAGCTTCATCATCGTTGAGATGTCCCGATCAGAGTGTATTATTGGAATGCTAACTTCGACAGTTCTTCGCACTACAACAAATATTGTAAATGTTTCAAATAAGAACACCCAATTGCACATTTAATAGAGAAAGAATATATAAAAGAAACACGTACTTGCGTTGTAGTCTCTGGCATAAAAAGCAATATTATTGTAATTATATTCGTCGTATCTTCCATGGTTTCGATTAATGTCCGTCTCGACTTGTTTTACGTCATTCATGTGGACCACATCAGAATGATATTCCACAAATGGAATTGGACTGAACACTTGGTACTGATTAATAGTATTCATACGGATCTAGACATCAAAACTGTTTTGTAATGTATATAGTTAGATTTGAGATTATTCATAGTAACAATAATAGTGCGTGTACTCTGTTTAAATAATCCAGTCGAAGTTGTATTCCAGTTTCTACGAAAAGTATCAAGCTTTCGGGTGAAAATTTTCTTATACATAAATCCGTAAAACCAATATTCAGTAATTGATTCGTATCAAGGGATATTACATTGCTTGGTAGACGTATAGAGAGCCAAGTAATCTTCGATTGGTATTTTTTATATTTTTCAGCTAATAATAATGCATATTGTTTAACTTCGTAATATAAGTCTTCTCTACCTTTTGATGTAGAATCAAAATTATACAAGAAAGCCTAAATACAACCCAACAATATTAAAAAATTTTAAAATAAAATTCTTAAAAATATTTTTAAAGAAACGTAAAAATATTAACCATCATGAGGAAAGTTTTGTACTTTTTTTCCATACAGTCTGAAGCATATTGCTCCAGAAAATTCAACGCATCTTGTTTTTTTGATGAATCTATGGTTAATACTATATTTATTCTTGTGTTCTCTGTTACATACGGAACAGGTAAAATTTCGACTTTACCAAGGGGTTTGCACACTTCGACCCTTTTTTTCAATACTTTACCAGTATCGATATCGATGAACTCTAAGTCTAATATATAATCCATTCCTCGAGATGCATCGAATCTTTGGTATCCATTTAATAATCTGTTAAATTTCAATTTATTTCGGTAATCAGCGATAATACTAGAAGTCGTTATATTAATTGTTCGATCTATGTCAAATTTGGCATCGATTTTTAACTCCTGTACAATCGAGAAATCAGTATTGAAAAATACGTGAGTCTCGTTGAAATACGTCCACCTCAAAACATCAAAACGTCCAGTAGCTTTATTGCCTGGTTGATTGCCAATAGGCCATGAGACATTACGTTCTTGCAGAGGACCTAAATGCGCCATACTTAAAATTGTTTTACGAATATTAGAAATTTTTTCTTGAATTTCCACGGAGTTTGTCTAAAATTAATGAACAAAATATAGGATATTACATATTAATTAGTTACGTAATGCAAATTGAGTAATTTTGTATATATTTAACGTACTTACTGCTGAAAAGTATGTATTAAATTTATAAATAAGGAGATGATCGTATATCGGGTATATTACAAGCGAATTTCGGAAATTTTCATTTCTAGCTAAATGTTTTAAATTTTGTTCAAATGAAAATGTTGGTTTTAATTTTGTGTATACAAATTTCTGACCCTGTATGTGATTAGAACAAGGTGTTGAAGTAGAATGAACGATACATCGTCCGAAATTAACGTCATCCGAATCAGAGTAGGCATTTTTCACACACCAATCTAAATTGTTTTTCAATTCTTGTATTATAGAATTGCTCAAGAGAATTCCCGAATCTGGAAATTGACAATGAGTGGTTATTAATGAAATATTAATTCAGATGGTATTTCAACACACTGATCAGTTTACCCAAGGAACAATAAGTTGGAATATCTCCAAGAACACCCACATGAACGTTTTGACTTACACTAATCTTGGTAACGAATTTTACTAATTTTTTAATACTGATGTAGCTTACATCTTTGATCAAAAAATAGTAATTGTAATTCTCTAGATAATTATCAATTATATATTTCATTGTATGGAAAGGTTTCAAAATACTTCTAGTATCTGTGAACCCAACTATACCAGGAAGTGTAACATTAGGTTTTGTTCCCTCTGGTATAGAAATAAAGTAACGTACTTTGTCCACAATGTGAGCTACTGTTTTATTAATTGCTATGTCTCTGCTATATAGAAACTGTTGATTTGTTATCACTCCTATAAACAATTTCTCTCTTATTCCAAGTTCTGTAGAATAATATCTTGGACGTACTAATGTCTTTGATACTTTTTGTGCCTGTTGTGGCTTGTTGTTAATGTTAATTTTTGGTTCATATTCATCCAACTCTTCTTGATAACTTGAATATTGCATTAAATGTTCTGCATTGCTATTGTAATTATTTACATTAACTGGTATTAACATCATACTAAGACTTAGACCCAAGTTTATTCCAATTATTAAATAAATATTTGCCCAACAATGGGATAAAAAGACTTTTAACAATGGATTCATTTTCTTTTTTCTTATATCTTATATTTTACATATCACGTTCAATTTCGATGTTTTGCATTTTTTATATCAGTACTAGCGGTGAAATTATGTTTACTGTTTTTAATAACCTTCGACACAATCTGCAGTTGCACAAAGGTTAACAATTTTTATAAACGCGTTACATATTATTTGTATTGTTGATTTTCGTTAGGAAAATTTTTTAATTTTTTAATAAATTAAATTAAACGAATACAAATTTTGCTTATTATTTGGTGATATGTTGACGTTTATATGGTAGTTTTTATATATCGATTATCATATAAATATATTCGTTCTTCGTCTCTTATTAAATACCATGTATGTAAAATAAATCAACAACAATTTGAAATTTAAATTATGTACACTCCATCTAAATTGAATACAATAACTCCTAACTACTTTTCTTTTATCTGCATATACAACACGGGTTCTCAAGGAAGTTAATCGTTAATTTCTTTTAAGAACATAATACTGAAGTACGTGTATTAAAACACGTAAAAACAAAGCATTGATATTAAATTTCAGTATAAAATTTAACAAGAAAAATAATAATAATAATAAATAACCAATTTTTCATTAAATCATAAAAAAAATAAAGCACAATTGATTACTAAAGTTAGGCATCAGATGGCGTTCATGTGTTCTTGTCGAAGAATTATTATTTAAAAGTATTTGTGTAACAAAAATGTACCCATATTTAATACTACCTAATAAGAGAATATTAAAATATATAAAATTTTATTTTATTTAGAATGCTTATTATGCATATGTATATTTATATATAAATGTAATTATTTACTCTGGATAAAAGGTTATAAGGGGAAACTGTTGACACTGTATTGGATGTTTATAAATTACATAAAAATTAAACAATAAAATTGGAGAAAACTGTTAATATGAGCACGTTAACAAGGAAAATAATTATACTATTAAGCAAATCGCTAATAATTAAAGAACGTACAAGCATGCAATTGATGATTGTTAATAGTTTTCACAGCAATCATCAAGTTTTATACAATAAAAAAAAAGTTGAAAGTAGTCTTATACCTTCTCGTTTTAATGTGGATAGAAAAGAGAAAGAAACTTTCTTAGATATTATACATAAGTATACAAAAGAAGATACTGCAAGAATAGGCCAATTAAAATTTATTATGGTTGCTTTAAAGTTTATGGATGAATTTGGTGTAAATAAAGATATACAAACTTACAAGGCAATATTTAACATATTTCCAAAGGGAATATATGTACCAGAAAATAAGTACCAAAATGCACTTTATCATTATCCACACCATCAGGATACTGCTATGGCTATACTCCGTAAGATGGAAGATAATTTTGTAATACCTGATTATGAAATGTACCACATTGTTTTAAATACCTTTGGTGGTAAGAGTTTGGTAGCAAAAAAAGTTTACAGTCTCTTGTACTGGTTCCCAAAGTTTGCTAACTTAAACCCATGGCCAGTTCCCAAACCTACACCCACAGATCCAAAAGATCTTGCATATTTAGCTCTGGAAAAGATATCCAGTATAGATTGTCAGACTAATATTACTGTATACAGAACAAACAATGTGCCAGATGCAATAGATGATACGTGGATTGTATCTTCTATGTCTCAATCACAACAAGAACTGCTGGCTGTACAACCAACTGATAAATCATTATATGTAGAAGGTCCTATTTCAGTTTGGGTTGATCAGTATTACATAGATTACTTTGTATTGAAAGGAGATCCAATAAAAAGGAAGATTATTTATGGAGAATATGATGGTAAATAAAAATTAAAACTTTCTATCTTTTATATTAGTTCATGAAAGTACTAATTCACATGCTGTTTTATTTTTTATTTTTAGATGTATCTAATTTGAAAATTCCGTTTTGGGAGAAGCATAATTTTAAAATACCTGTTACTATTCATGAACAGGAAGATGGTGTGTATTATGCAATATGTGCCACTGGTACATCTTCTAAAGACTCATTGTTATCATGGATAAGGTGTCTTCAAAAGACAAATCCCATTCTGAAGGATGTACCCATAACATTCAAAATGAGATCTTTCACAGTTAAATCATCTCATATTGATGAAGGTGAAAGGGTATCTAATGTGAAACAAATAATTTAAAGTGTAAACCCATCAGAAAAATAACTTATTAGTGCATGAGGGTAAATAATTCAACATGTAAATAAATTTATATAATAATGATAATATACTTTGTAGTTTTTCTTTCCCGGAAGTATAACTATTGATTGAATATCAAAGACTTAAAATATTTATTTTTTACATTTAAAACATGTATTACGTAACAGGTACAAAGTTAAATAACACGAATTAAAGTTCGATTAAATGTAAAATCGGCATTGTTATTCGTTGCGAATATTCTCTTCATGATTTAATGTTAATGCGTATCGGTATTATTATACAAAATTTTTTGACCTCTTTTGTACACAAAGAACCCCTTTATACATGAATGCTTATATGAAAATAAATTCGCTTAACATTTAAACTCGCGCATGAATAATCAGACAATATTGGTAGTAAGTGTTGGATCTTCAAACAGTTAAAACGTATTGAACAAAATATCAAATAGAACTCATAATTTGTTATTTGGAAAATAAAATATAAATATGTCAGTAAATAGGTGTATACAAATTACACCAGTTTATGTTAATGTATTGTATTCTAAGTACTTAAAATGTAAGTATTTTGGGATAAACTAAATTTTAATTATTAATTACTGAAATTTCGTAGTTTTTAAGAAAAAATAAGTTGACCTTGAGAATATTAATTTTCAGAAAATTTTACTTTTCTAATTGTAAATTATTATTCCAGGGTTTATCATGCAAACCAGAAATTTTGCAAGTAGTGCAAATAATCCCTTGAAGATGCCTGACTGTAAATATGTACCTTCCATTTACAAGGTATGATCTTTTCCTTACTTAAAAATTCCTTACTAAAAATTTGTTCTTATTTTAGGGTACCAATTACGAGGACATGATAAAAGGGTATGAATCAATCGTATCTCCTTCGTTGAAACCATTTTACAAGGAACCATTAATAATACACGAAGGTCGAGGACAATGGTTATGGAATCATCGTGGGAAGCGATATTTGGATATGTTCGGTGGTGTTGCCACCGTATCGGTTGGCCACTCTCATCCGTAAGCCTATTGTAAAATCAAACAAATAAGGATGCAGTAAACATTCAGATGATTGAAATTTATTTATTTTTTTCAGAAAAATCGTAGCTGCTATATCTAATCAAGTGTCAAAATTGAACCACGTATCTTCTGCCTACATGCATTCACGTCTATATGAATATGTAACGAAGTTAATCGGTAAATTTTCAGGCAAGTTAGGGGTAGTATATTTAACTAACAGTGGGTCTGAAGCAAATGAGTTAGCATTCTTGATGGCTAGACTTCACACACGCAGCCATAGTATCATTTCATTGAAAAATGGTTATCATGGTGCAAGCTATGGAACGTCAGCATCCACTGCTATGAGTACATGGCGGTATCCATTCATTGCACAACCTCCTGGATATCTACATGTGAGTGAAACAGGGAGGTCTATATTAGATTTTGTATTTCAATTCCTCGAAAATTCTTCATTATTCTTTAATTATTTCAGGCAGTATATCCTGATGTGTATAAGGGCAACTGGGGTGGATCAAAGTGTAGAGATTCACTTGTACAAGTGACTGGGAGAAAATGTGATTGCAGAGAGAATGAATGTATAGCTTCAGAGAAATATTTTTGTGAATTTGAAGAGACATTTTGTTTCAGTTTAGCATGTAGAGAGAGTATAGCAGCATTTGTTGCTGAAAGTATTCAAGTACAATATTCTTCTTTTATAGAATTATCAATGGACCTTTACTTCAAATGAAATTTTTTATTTTCAACTACTAGGGTATAGGAGGAGCAGTGCAATATCCCAAATACTTCCTTCAGAAGGTGTATAACTATATACATGAAAAGGGTGGTCTCTGTATAGCAGACGAAGTTCAAACTGGTTTTGGTAGGACAGGAGAGCATTTTTGGGGATTCGAGAGTCACGGTGTGGAGCCGGATATAGTGACTTTGGCGAAGGGTATAGGAAATGGATTTCCTCTTGGAGCAGTAGTTACAAGTACGGAAATTGCCAAGAGCCTAAATTCCGCGTTACACTTTAATACGTTTGGGGGAAATCCTCTTGCGTGTGTTGTAGGATCAACAGTGCTGGATGCAAGTACAGTTTCTTATATTTAATTTTTAACATTATAATTAAATTACACTTTCTTATTAATTATAACATACAGTAATCAATTAAAACATGAATGACCATGATTCAGATCATAGAGGAAGAGAGTCTTCAACAGAATGCGCAAACTATCGGCACATATTTGCTCAATCAATTCGCTACTTTCCTATCAGAATTTCCCAATGTCGTTGGCGATGTTAGAGGAAAGGGATTGATGATCGGAATTGAATTAATTTCGAACATTGAGACAAAAAAGCCATTGAAAACTGAACACATGCTTGAGATCTTTGAGGTTATCAAAGACATGGGAGTCCTTGTTGGAAAAGGAGGGTTACATGCAAATGTAAGTTAACAACCGATGGTTACATGTTTATAACATTTCAGTATTGGAATATTTATAAAGTTCGACATACTTAGGTTCTACGAATAAAACCACCATTGTGTGTAACGAAAACGGATGCAGATTTCACTTATGCAGTTATCAGAAGAGCATTACAGAAACACGAAGAGAAATACCGAATTTAATACGTGAATACAACTCCTTTTATATGGTATAGTCATTTATATTACATTTGTACAATATTTTTTTTCTTTGTCAAGTATTATCTTAATTTAACATGCAAATTGATTACAGCATTCTGTACACAGATCTGGTTGCTTACAATATGCATAGACAACGAAGATTATTAACTTTGTACAAATATTTTTTTCTGTACCTGTTCTTTAATGAAGCAAAACTGTATAGAATCGAATAAGTAATAATGGAAAGACAATAAGAATTATTATTTAAACGGTAACATAATAAATTAATGCATCTTTTTCTATAGTCTCAACTATCTTAATTTCAGTCTTCCTAACAAAATGCACGTCATGTTTTTTCACGTCTGCTATAAAACATTTAATTGATAATTAAATGTTCTCTAATATTTTCATACAAATGCAAATATGATTGTACACATTTTACAATCGAAAATGCATTTTATGCGCTGCATGTAAGACAGATAAGTTACATATCTAAAATCACATATACATGAAACATTCTTTTGTATTAAATAAATTATTGTTTTTGATTTTCACATTCAACAACCTCCATGTTTCGTGTGTATAACTGATTCCACATTTTCTGTCTCAGTTTTGTAATAAGTTCTTTTGAATATTTCTAAGCATTCCTAATATTCAAATAATTAATGTTTTGGAAGACTTGCTTATAACAAAATTGTACAATGGAAATCTATTAGCGTAAATAAATAAAAATGTGCTAATGGCACATAAAAACTGATGTACAGGTTGTTCCGCAACTGAGGGTACAACCAGAAAGAGGGTGATTCTACGTGAAAAAATAAGTTGAAAATATAGAATAAAACTTTTTCATGTGAAGCTTTGTTTTCAACAAAATCAACTTTAAATATTTGCCTGGCACATGTGCACTTAACTACGTCTCGAACTATGTTTGTACCAATAAGCGATGCCAATGTCATGATCAGTACCTAAATACATTTATTAACAATTTCCTTAATTGAAATTGACATTACTGAAAGAATTATTGAAAAAGACAGTTTTGTTAACGCATACAAATTGTTGCTCTTGGAATCAGAGAATCGTGAACTGATGGTACGGTATTTTCATACTTCAATAGTTTGAAAGCTTGTACAATTCTATCGTTACACTGCAGGAGATTAACACCATTTTCTGCATAGACTACTTCTTTACGACATGTTACGTTACCTTTGTTTATCAACATAAAAGTACGAGTAGAAGCATTAGTTTGTTAACAATATTTAAACTGAATTTTTTCAAGAACTAAATCTTTTATGCAAAAACTTTATTTTATATTTTTGATTTATTTTCCTATGTAGAATCACCCCCTTGCCAATTGTACCACCACTTACGGGACACCTTGTGTGTGTGCGCGCGCGCGCGCGTGTATCAATTATAAATGCATTCAAATCGCTGGAATAAACAAGGTCAACAATTTTTTACTATACAAAAATGAGATTTGGCACAAAATTGGTTTTCTTACCAAAAAAAATGACGGACATGAAACTCTGTTTTTGTTATTGTCGAAAAATTAATTATTGCTGGCTTCACAAAATACTCATTACCTTTAGAATACTATTGCATGGAAAATATGGTTCCGTGACTTTTTTTGTAATTAATAAATAAAAAATTGAATATTTTCTATCCATTAAACGTCCTTCCTGCAGTTAGTCACAAACAAAAGGTATGAAACATGCAGGTACCAATTAAGAAAGTAAACTAACATTTAGGCAATAAGATTTGTTAAAACTATTTTAGAATCTGGTAATGAATCAAGAAGGTAGTGTGATGTATCAGCCATAGAGGCAAGATCAGCCTCTAGTAAAGCCAGCTGAAGTTCTCTGCGTGCTTTTTGTACAACATACACCATTAATGAAATACCTATAAGAATCTGAAATTGAAATGAAAAAAATTATTGACACTTCGGAATATTGTTGACAGAAAAGATGTTAATTTTTTGTAGTTGAAATATACCTGAAAACAGAAGACAATATAACCAGTTGCTGCTGTTGATCTATCTTCAAGAACGTCTTGCATAGATCTCAAGCTACTGCCTAGGTAAATGTTAATGATTTGAGCAGGCAGTAAGCCCAATGCACTAGCTATGTGGTACTGAATACCACCCATATTGCTTACCTAAATATTCACATACATTATTCTTAACATTCATATCAAAAGCATTAACTCATTTACATTATTGAGTACTATTTAACAAATACATACCGCAAAAATAGTATTTTGCAAGCCAAAAGGAATAGGAGTTAATCTTGTGAACAATACAACTTTAAAAGCTTGTGGTCCAGATATAACTCTGAGTATTGCTCTCGCAGTGTCATTTTGTAAGAGAGCTCCAATAGGTAACTTAGATGATAGTGCACTAAGTGTGACATGTGCTATAGCTATTCCTAAGTTGGCAGATAATACTACCATCACAATACCTCTTAATATGCCAAAGAGGTAACCACTAGCAATGATAAGGAATAAATAACCAATTACAATAGGAAATGAAACCACTGTAAATAGTGCAATGAATATTACAGTAACAATCCATATGTTTTGATGCTCAATCCAATAGAGTAACACTTTAATATAGTCTCTACAGATGAAAACAATTGCACCCAGAAGGGCCAAGGTAGCAATTGTTACTACAATATAGCATATTGAATTTGAGTGTATGCAGTTGCACTGTATTGAAGTTGAATTTTTAGATGGGCGAACACCAGTTTCCACGTCTTCTATATTAATTATATCCATGTCCAATATATTTATTCCTCATTATTTGTAAGGAAAAAATCATTCAGGTGTCATTCCTTTGTTATGATCTATCTGGAAAATATTAAAAATGTGTGATGTACTTAATGTTTGCAATGTACACACTACTACACATTTATTTCTTATCAGTTTCACTACTTAGTAATCACTATTGATAAACTTAGTAATATTAAGAACTAGTACAAATAGTAATATTGAAAAAAAAAAGAATGAAACCATTTACATTAAAGATATGTAATATTTATAAGCTTTATAAATTGAAAATTTATGCAGTGTGACTCCTTTGTAATTGAATTAATACTTAAATGTGTATTTTAAATAGTTTATGAATGAAATACACATTCAATGTAAGAACCAGTTTTGTGAAGGTTTTTACGAAGAATAATAAAATACCAAAAAAAACTTTCAATTAGGAATTTTTTAAACATAATTTTGAAATATTTTAAGCAATATCATTATATTAATTACCTTGAACATCGCAAAATAATACAATTATATTAATGAAATAATTTTAATTTCGATACATTATTGTCAATAAAATTTGGAAAATTGTTAAATTTTGAATTCATCTTATCAGCGAAATATTTATACTGTTTACGTAGAAAGTTGTTCCGTTAATGGCGCGGATAATACAAAGAACAACTTTCTGTTCCAAGAAATAGCTGCGTGTTATCACTTTAAATTACTATAATCAATATACCGTTAAAAAACGTATAAAGAACAAACAATGTACAATCAAATATATTTTTACCTTGTGACACTATCATAATAACGATTTTCGTATATCATTATTATCCGTAGCTTTCCCATCACCATCAATTCAGCAATGTTAACTCTTATACTTGATTTTTGCACTGCTACACATTCTTATAAAAGAGTCAAACAGTTTTGTAGTAAAAATATGAATCGTGTAAGTTCATAAAACATAATAATTGAAATCCGTTTATGATTCTCATTTGCGTCAAGTGGCATATAGGCACGGATGAGGTACAGAATAGATCTGTTACCTAATGCATTTTTTAGTCTCACGTTACGAGGGTTCTAGAGCCCCCTTACCATTTTCATGTCGTTGCCGACATTACCGATTCAGCATAGAATAAGATTACAACAATAGTAGTGGTTGGAATTAGAATTAAAAGTATATGAAATTACAAATAAAGTATAGAACAGGCTATCTTATAATTGTGCACGCAGTATAGAATTCTATACTTCTACTTAAATGTATAATATAATATAGGGTGTCACAGCTAAAGGAAGCCACTTAAATATTTCATTTGTTTTTAATGTCATGATAAATATTTATATCACAATTTGAATGGTTTCAAAAGACGAATACTGTTGGATACCAACTTATCACGACGTGACTCATGGATGCGAGTTGCGCGCGTTGCAATCTTCGATAAACGCTCATTCCGCCAAATATTTTGTGGTTTAGTTCTTACAATTAGTCAGCTATATAGAACATTTGCCACTTTCCTAGACCTTTTACCGCAACCCCTCTCTAATCCCTTTCACGTCTTCTTCTAAACCCTATAAATATAGCTACTTCAAAAGCTATACCAATCTTTGTTTCCAATATCATCGTGCGACTCACAACCTGTTAAAAATTTGAATAAACCTCTCGCTAGAATTTTAAAAGTGTTGGACACATTCCACTACCCGAAATCCAGCAATACCATGGAAATTAAATTTCTTTGTTGGGTCATTATTTTTCAGTTTTTTCAAAGTCATCGATATTTTTTATCCGGGAAGTGTGTATTTTTTTCTATTGTATCTTGTAACGGATGAAAAAATATATTTAAGTATACCTGAATCATGACTTTCAGATGACCTTAAACATCAAAAATGTGATGAAATTGTAAGACAATGTTAGGATGGCATGTGAACTTACTGTTTATGTTATAAATGTTCAAAGTAGTGTCCATCAGCAACAATACACTTTCTGAAACGAACCATCACAGATTGCGATACTTTTTCAACTGCCTCTGGTGGGATAGCAGCACAAGCACTAATTATGCGATTTATCATGTTTTCTGGAGCGGTGGTTCGCTGTTGGTAAACTTCTTCTTTTAGTTTTCCCTAGAAAACCTTTTGAAAAAAAGTCTAATGGGGTCAGATCCGGTGAACGTGCTGGCCAAACTGTGGGCTCATTATGTTTAATCCAACGATTTGGGAATAACATAAACAGCAGGTTCACATACCATCCAAATATTATCTTACATTTTCATCACATTTTTGGTGTTCAATGTCATCTGAAGGTCGTGATTCAGGTTTAAGATGCAATTGAAAAAAATACACGTTTCTCGGATAAAAATACCGATGACATTGAAAAAA